TTCCTCTTCTTCTTCTTTTATTATTTTATAAAGTTATTCGTGTAAATCGAGTGTTTTAATGCTTTTGTTGTCATATTAAATTTATAAACGGAATTCTTGGAAAACTTAAAGACCTATTTTTTGAGCTAAAATACCTATAATTTTCTATGTATTAGCCTGTTTTTCCATTTTTAAATCGAAAAATCTATCATCTAATAGATATATGGTTATTTTAAAGAATTCACTATTTAAATAGGAAGAAGCAGATGATAAAAAGGAGGAAATTTTGGAAATATTGTCTTCATTTTATTTTAAAATTTTTTCTATTTAAGAACTATTTTATTCGTGGAAATCAAAAAAATTAACCGGCAAGCCCAAAAAACTTAAAAAGAGTTCGGATTTCCCACTTTAGAGTATAATTTATGGATTTTCAAGTATTTTTTATAAAAAATTCTCAATTTATAATTTCCTTTCTTCAATAACTTTAGTTTTCAAATTAGTTAAAAAATTTAAATTAGATAAATGAGGTAATATTATTTTTAATTCTTTCATATTTTTTTAAATAAACTCTTCTAATTTAACCATTTCCGAATATCTTAAAAAAATCTTATTTTTTTGTAAATTTTACCCCTTTTTTAGAATTATTTCGATTATATAAACTGTATATTTATTCTTTATTTTTGTATACGAAAATCTCTATTCAGTACCTATAATATTAACTTAGATAAAAAAAGAATTTTCCGGTAATTTTATTTATAAATTTTTTATTATTTAAGTATATATTTTTTATATTATGGCATTTTTTTAATCTTTTGTGTTTACAGAAAATATTAAAATGTCGTTTTTACCAATAATTTTTATTAAATTTTGAAAATATTTAAAATCTTCTAAATTTTATAAAGTAGAATATTCATTTAAAATAAGTAATTTATAAAATTTTTCTTTTTTAAAATAAATTTCTTCTGATGTATTTTAATTATCATTATCATTTTATTTTTTAACACTAATTAATAAAAATTACGTAAAAAAATACACTTCTACATTTTTTTCTTTATTTTCTTAAAAAATATACATTTTTTCACTCCATAAAAAACTATTTTTTTCCAAAAAAAATTCTTTAATTTATTTCTCGTTTTCAAATAAATTCCATAGATTTTCCTTTATTTCTAAAGTGAATTTTCTCCATAATTTCTCACTCATTTTTTTCTTTATATATTTTTCCATTTAATTATTGTTTTCTTGACAAATTTCTTAAAATTTCTTCACTCCCTATTCTATATTTTCATAATCAATATCATCTTTTTCACTATATTTTAACATATCCTATAATAAAAGGATATATCTGGGAATTTGTTAAACAGGTTTTATCATTATTGAGTCTAAATATAGTCCTTTTTGTTCCTTTTATTTCATAAAAGTGTCTAATTATTCATTTTATTATCTATTTGTTTCCACTAATTTTTATGAATTCTCATAATTATTCAAATAATCCTAATAAACTGCGAATCTAGGGGCATAGTCAACACAAATTTTAGCTGAAAAAGGTTTAATAGAGTTCATTTTTTATAGGAAAAAAGTACTAAGTTCGAAAATTTAATCAACATTAGAAAATATTTTCTAAAGTTTTTGTTAATTGAAAAATTTAAGATTATCAAATGGAATATTAAATTCATTTTTCAAAATTTTCAAACTATCATTATATTTTTATTCTTTTTAAATTAATTCATTAATTATATTTTATTTATATTTAAAACGCTAAAATTTAATTTTATATTTTCTTCTAATTAATCTTCCCTTAAATAAAGCTTATATTTTTACGATTTACTTATAAAATATAGTATCTTATTTGATTTTTGTTTAAATATCTTAAGAAATTATTGATATTTCGGAATTTAATACGTTTTTTTATTTTCCGATTACTTTTTTAGATATTGTCGATAAAAATTATGAAAAATTGGAACTTTTTACATCCGACATAGATACACTATTATTTTCGCCTATATTTATTTAGTATTATTTACTTTTTTTATATTTTATATTTTACATAATTAACTTAGTTCATCATTATCATTATCTTTTTATTTTATATTTACGTCCATTTTTTTTTTTATTTATTTGGAAATAATAATAATTAATAAACTAATTTATTATCATTAAAATTTATAATGGATTTATAATGTTATTAAGTTTTTTTATAAGATATAAATATATATTTACGTTATGCATTTAATAAAATAATATATTTAAAGATATATATTTTTAAGTGTATACCTTTTTTTTATTTGATTGAAATAAAAAATCAAAATCAAATAAAACAATTAACATATTAAATAATATTTTTAATACATAAACTATGTATTATTTAATAAACATTATCAATTAAAAAAATAATAATTATACTTTTTTTATTATAAAAAAAATTATAAATTTAAATAAAAAATTATGGAACATATATGTAAATAATATTTGTATTGTATAAAATGTTCAAAAAATGCTTGCCAAATATGCCATATAAATTTACAACATGAAGATTACATAATTGATATAGACTAATGTTATACCTAAAATATTAATATACTTACTTAAAACACATAAGATTACGCTATAATATAAAAGAGCCTTGAATAAATCAAAAATACATGTGAATTACATATATAATAATTAAGTGCAACAATAAATAATATATTTTTTAACAGCAGAATAATTGATCTATATAAAGAAAAAAATTACACTAAATTTATACAGTTATTATTAAAAAACTATAATTATATTTCTCAAAATAAATTAGAACTAAAGCATAATAGAAACTTATAAATAGATAAAAATTTTATGTAAGAAAATTTTTATTAATCAATATAAACATTAAATGAATATTTCTAACATTAAATCAACTTTATAAGTAATATTATACTATAAAATATTCAAGATACCTAATAAATATAATAATAATAATAATAATAATAATAATAATAATAATAATAATAATAATAATAATTTTAATTTTAATAATAACATTTATAATAATAATAGCAAGTATAATAATTATTATTAAAGTAATAATAAATTCCATAAGAAATTTTAATTAAAAAAACTAATTGTATATAGTCTTGTTTAAATAATGAAATTGTTTAAAATAATAAATCCATAAATAATGATAATAAAAACGATCATTTTAACTTTATAGCCTTTAAAAATACATAAATATATAATATTTAAACATTTTCTTTATTAGATTTGAATATGTGTAAAGAAATATGTCAATAAAAACAGGTAGTAGTTTGCTTTTCGTTTTAAAAATAGATAAAAATATTATTTTTTGATGAAATTAATTAAAAATTCAATGAAATAAAATAACATATATTCTAAAATGACCAATATGAAGGAAATATAAAAAAATTTAAATAAATACATTTTGGCACTAAAAATATTATTTTTGTACTTTTATTCAGTGGTGAAATATATGTTTGGAAAAGTAATTAATAAATGAAACTTTTCTATAAAAACGTAAGTGATTTCGATATTATTATTAATAAAAATAGTCTTTTTTGTATAATATACACTTTCAGTTAATAAATAGTTATGTATAATGCCAAATAAGGGACTAAAATCGATATTTTTCATACTAAATAGTGCTCTTAATTAATTTCTTGGATAAATAGTAATAATATATATATTTCATTTATACATAATAATAATTTTTGTGCTCTTCTTTTACATAAAAATAAAACTGAAGCGGAAAAATGCGAAATATTATATGAAACAACAACTTATGACTTATAAGCTATTAGTAATTTAAAATATTATAAAGAAGATTAAGTTATATGTACCAGTCCTAAAGGAGACTTATATATTTTCGATATATAGAGCTAATAATAAACTTATATAAAATATAAAAGAGCTTAAGAAAACTAATAAATAGAATTACTAGATTTATAAATTTTTGAAAATAAATATGTATTTATGTGTTTTAATAACCTTATAAGAATTAAAAATTTAAGAAATTTATATCTTCCTTAAACTATTTTTAAATGCGCTTCTATGGAAATAAAAAATAATAATTTTATTATTTATTATTTAACTTATAAAGATGATTCTATATAGATACATAATATTTAATTCTGATAAAATAAAATAAAATAAATAATATATTTTAATTTTATTTATTAATATATATATATATATATATATTATATATATATATATATTTTATTTATAAGTTATTATTATTATAAAATTTTTAAAATTTATTATTCTATATTGTTCATCAACATATATATTAATTATTTTTCATATTATTATTTAGAAAATATTTTTTAATTAATAGGTTACATAATTTTATAATATGTATTATTTTTATTATATATATATAATATTAGAAAAAAAATATATATTATATTTATAATAAATATAATATATATTATAATTTTTATATTTATTATATAGACTTAAAAAAATTAAAATATAATGTATTTGGATACAAATAATAGTATATAATTTATATTATTTTAATTTTTTTTTTTATATATTTATTTTTTATATTTAATATTATATTTTTTTATTTATTATAGTTTTTTTTAATATTATATTTTTTTTTTTTTTATATTTTTTATTATACATCTTTTTTTTTATATAAATATTATATTATATTTTATATTTTATTTTATTTAATATATTTATTTTTATTTAATTTAATTAATTTATTTTAAATTAATATACAAAATTAAATTATAATAATAATATTTTATTTAATATATCCATAATATGAAGAATAAAATAAAATTTAATAATTAATTTATTTTAAAAATTATACAAATACAAATAAATATGTACTCTATTTTATATTCAAATAAAAATTAAATTCAAATATAAATTATTCATACTAATTATATTAATTTTGTTTTTCTTTCCTTTCATTATATAAATTGAAATAAAAATAAATAATTTTTATCTTTTTAAAATCAATAGAAATACAAAAATAAAACAAATATAAAATAAATTTTTTAAAATATATATATAAAAAAATGGGAAATTAGTGCTGTTCTTAAAGCGAAGCATAAAATTAATAACCTTAAACAAACATTCCAAACAATTTTACCGAGGAATAAGCTGAATAAAATTTATAAGCCAATTAACATTGTAAAATATAATAAAAAAAATACTTATATATATTATTATTATAAAAAATTATGAAAAAATAAAAAAATTAAAAATAAAATAAAAAAAATAGAAGTAGAAGTACAAGTTCATGCAAATTAATAGGATGAAAATGAGGTGTTAGAAGGTATAGAAAATACAATATAAGTAGATGGTAAAAAAAAAAAAAATAAGAAAAAAAAATTTAAATTAAATAAATATTTAAAAAATTAGAAAAAAAATTCAAAATAGAATTATAATCACTCCGGGAAGCTCTTTAAAAAGCTGACGCATTTAAAGAAATATTCTATAATAGTTAAAATTTAACACGAACAATATATGAACTTGAATAAATATTAAACTATTTTAGCAAAACAATAGTAATTCCTTTACATATCCTTAATGTAAAATCTGATCTTTTAGGCCTTTATGGCGACTTATAAAATTTCAGATCTTTCCATTCCCGTTTTACTTTAGAAAAATCATTTTACGAGCACCTTCCTGCAATAACTCAACTTTTAAATTTTATAAAAAATTTTATTTCCTCAAATTCTAAATACATAGAAAAAGGTGTCATAAATTACTAATAATTAGTTTTTGATTTAAATACTGATTAAAATTTTGATGAATCTTATAATAAAATAAAACTCTTAAGAAGTGCCTAAAATGAAGTTTCTGGTACAAACTTTTCCACTTTACCCAATTATTTATATGTGGCCTTGAAAGATAAAAAAGGTTTCGAATTATGGGAAACAATACTTCCTTACTAATTTGAAGTTTCGAATAAAGATTTTGTAGAAGTATATATAAACGAGACCTATAGTTTTGATGTAAAAGATAAAATATTAGCCCTATTATATAGTATGGACTTAAATAACGACTAAAGGATTGATATTTACCAATTTCTTTCATTTGTGGAAAGTTTCGACAATTATTTTGACAATGACGGCCGCATAATTATCGAAAAATTAGATGAATTATAAAGCCTAATCCATGTTTAAAGATTTCCTCCTAAATAAAATGTTAGTAAGTAAAACTGCTACGTTTACTAATCTGGAATGGAATATGAAGGAATTATGAACGATAAAGGTGAAAGGACTGGACATGGAGTTTTAAAAGATGAAGAATATGAATTTCAAGGCGAATTTTTGAACGACCTTCCTCACGGAAAAGGTATTGAAATAAGAAAAAAAGTAAAATATGAAGGAGATTTTTTAAATGGACTTTACCATGGATAAGGTACTTTGAGCTTTCCTAATGGAAGATCATATACAGGAAATTTTATAAATCATTAATTTCATGGACAAGGGGAATTAATAGGCGATGATGGTATAAGATATAAAGGAGAATGGAAAAACGGGTAATTGGAAGATGGAGTAATTACTTATCATGACAATTCTTATTACATAGGAAAAATCAAAAAGAACTTTTTTAAAGAAGGTAAAGGAATATTTTACAGCGGAGAATATTCATATACAATTTTTGAAGGAGAATGGTATTAAGATAAGCCTTTTCAATGCAAACAATTCAGTCTAGATGACGGAGTTACAATGATTTATTAAGGACAATTCAATAATTATTATATAGAAGGAAAAGGTTCTAGATTTTATGCTGACGGAAGTGTCTATGAAGGGGAAATGTTAAGAGATAAAAAACAAGGGGAAGGTACATGTACTTATAAAGACGAGTCTATGTTTACTGGTATTTGGGAAAATGACTTCTAGGTAGATGGAACTTATTATTATAATAAGAAAAATCTTAATAATTACTACAAGGGTACTTGGTAGAATGGAATTTAGAATGGAAAGGGAAAACATTAATACCCGTCAGGAGGTATTTATGAAGGTGAAATTTAAAATAATAAAAGACATGGATATGGAGTTTATAAATACTCCAATGGCAATGTCTATGATGGATAATGGGTTGAAAATAATTAATAAGGAGATGGAAAATTCATCTTTTCTTCAGAAGGAGATGGTAGTGGAGATGTTTATTACGGGTAATTTGATAAAGGGAAATTCTAAGGATTTGGACATTACATTTATAAGAAATCTAATAAATAATATATCGGTATTATTTTTTTGTTTTATTATTATTTTTATTTAATTAAAAAAAAAAGGGTTTTGGAAAAACGATATGTGGGAAGGACATGGAAAATTCATCAATGGTGATGGAAATATAATTAAATGTGGTATTTGGAAAAATGATAAATTAGAAACTGCAGGTAATGAAAAAGATCTTGATTTCCCTTAAAATTGGTAATAGTATAAAATTAATTTAGATGATTTAAATCGTGTTTAACCAAATTCTCAGTAAAATAATGTTTGACATGTATGATTTAAAAAGAAAATGGAGGATAAAAATTTTTAAAAATAAAATTTAATTATTTATTTTTTTATTATAATTATAAAAATAATGAATTATATATATATATTATTTTAGATAAGAATTTTGAAATTATATTATTATGATAAATTAATTAAATATTAAAATAAATATTTTATATTCATAATAAAAAAATAATATTATTTTATATATTAACTAAAGTATAAAAAAAAAAAATTCAAACATATATTTAAATAAACTAAATCTTATGTATATATATTTATGATTTTTTAACTTTTCATATTTATTGATAATTTTTTTTGTATTAATTAATTTTTTATTATAATTAATTTAAAAATATATTTATTTCATCATTCTTTTTATTCGAATCAACAAAATTATAATTAATTTAATGTATTTAATGTTCAATAAAATCAAAATTATTATTATTATAAAGGTATTCAAAAGAATCAATTTACTAGTTTTTCTATTTTATTTTTTATTCATATTCTTCTTAAACTTCCTATAATATTTACTAGAAATCCTCTAATTCTTAATTTGATTATTATATAGTTTAATCTTTATCTTTAATTTTATTTTCTAAAGTTTATATTTTTATATTTAACTTAACAATTTAATTTTCTAATTATTAAATTTTAAGTAAATTTAATTAATTAGTTTATTACTACTAATTTTAGACAGCTTAGTTTTCACAATTATTTTAATCTTACTATATTTTCAAAAAATTAATATTTAGCTACTCTAGTTATGTTTTTAAATTATTATTTTCATTATTCAATTATTGAATTACTTTAAGACTTTCATCTTTTTATAATTCTAACTATTAAATTACTACTTTAAACTATTCAATTGATTTAAGATTTTAATTGTTTTATAATTCAGTTTTTTATAAATTGATTTTCAATGATTAAATTAATTGCAAGTTTTCATTCTTTTATTATTCGAATTTCTAAACTTAATTTTTAAATTATTAAATTTCTTACAAACATTCATTATTTTATATTTAAAATTTTTAAATTTAATTCTTTAATTATAAAATTTATTTTAAGTTTTCAGTTTATTGTTATTCTAATTTTTAGACTTCATTTTTTTAAAATTCTATTTATTTCAAATTTTCGGTTTTTTATTATTCAAGTTTTAGGCTTTCGATTTTTAACTATTCGATTTATTTTAAATTTTCATTTCTAATTTTTTCCAATTATTAATTTTCATTTTTAAGAAATTCAATATATTTAAAGTTTTCGTTTTTTAAAGATACAGTATTATTTATATTTTCATTTTAAAATTATTCAATTTAATTTAAGTTTATAATTTTCATTTGTTCAATTTATTTAATATTATCTAATTTTACTTATTCTAATTTTAAATTATCATAATTCAATTTTTCGATTAATTTTAAATTTTCATTTTAAGTATTTTTTAATTATTAATATTGATATATTAATTTTTTATTTTCATTTTATATTTATTCATTTATTTCAATAAATTATATATTATCTTTATTTAATTCAGTTATTTTTAAAGCAGATTATTATAATTATTGTTTTAAATCTTCAGATTCAATATTTTACTTTTCAATTTATAATTAATAACTTAAAGCTAAATCTTAACTTTATTTTAATAATTATTAATATTTCAACAATTCTTATTTAAATATTTTTTATTAAGACTAATCTTTTTCTACAAAGCTTTAAGTTAAATAATCTTTAATTTGTGATATAGTAGTTGATATTTGTTCATTTTTTTCATCAAACTATTGTTAAAATCTCAAAACCTAAAAATATTATAAATAATAAAAAAAAATATATATTAATAATAAAAATATATATAATATATATAAATATATATATATAAATATATATGTTTATATGTATATAAACATTTTAAATTAATTTAAATAAATATTATTTTAAATATATAAAAATATCTATATAAATATAATATCATATAATTTATTTTTAAATATATTATTTTTATTTATTTTTTATAAAATATTATAAAATTACATCTTCTTCTAATTATTATTTTTCTTTTATTAATTTAATAATGTTTTGTTGCTGTATACTTTTTTCATTTTCAATTTTTTTTTATTTTTCTTCCATTTCTTTAACTTTATTATTTTACTTCTCTATTGTTTCATTCAGATTATTTTTATCTTCATTTAATTATTATATTTTTTAGCTAAGATTTTTTTAAGATTTTTCTTTTACTTTCATTGCATTTTCTAATTCTTTTTAAAGTTTAATTATTTAGTTTTAAACAGCTTTCATATCATCAGCTGTATATATTATTTCAAAATCTTCCATTTTTTTTTTATTATTTTTTTTTTTAATTATAAAATTTTAATAGAAAAATAATTAATTATCTATCTCCAATAAATTATAATTAAGAAAAAATATATTATATATAAAATATTTATTAATAATTATCTATAATAATTTAAAACATAATTTTTTATATTTTTTTTCTTTAATTTTCTATTTTAAATATTATTTAAAATATTACCAAATTTTAAAAGTTATTTTAATTAAAATATATAGTTTTTTTATTTAAAAACTTTTAATTATTCTCATTTTTTTATGAAAAAAATTCACAAATTTAACTCGAAAATAAATTTAAAATTTGAAAAATAAGAAAAAAAAAAATAATAATAATAATAGAAAATATAAGATTATTTTAAAAATAATTTATAAGAATATATAAATATATTAATAGTTTTTATTTTTTGATTATAAAATATAGAAAAATACCAAAAAATTATATTATTTTAATAATTAAATTAATAAATTGAAATTATATTTAAATAAAAATATATGTAACATAAAATTATCAAAAAGACGATAATAAATTTACATATTCATTTATATTTTACAAATTATATTTATATTTTCTAATTTTCTCCATATTATTAAATGAAGTTTAAAAAGTAAAATATTTATTCTTTAATATTATATATAAAAAATAAACAATTGAAAGTTAAATACAATTTAATAATGATATTTTTTTTTAAATTTAAAAATAATATAAATATATTATTTATCCCTCTTTTAAATTAACTTTATTAATATATTTTTTCTAAAAATATTGTTTCTTTCAATCAAATTTATTAAGTTTAATTTTCATCATTAAATACAAATTATTCGAAGCTGACCATATTTTTATTATCATTGTTATTATTATTATCATTATAATACATAATATTATACAATTTATTTGGAGTTTTTTAAAAATCTAAATTCTAATTACTTAAACTAAAAGCATTATACTTTTTATTTATTCTAATATTTTAAGAAGTTTTACATCTGTTTAGTTATTTACTAAACATATTATATCTGTTTTACTAACTACTTTATATAAAATTTCTTAAATTTAATTAAGATTCTTATTAAGTAAACATAGAAAATCTTAATAAATTATTATCTTTTAAAGACTTTTTTTATTGTTTTTTTTTTTTTTTTTAAATAAAATATTATTTATGAAAAAATAAAACAAAAATTTATATATTACTTAAGAATTCGCATTTAAAGGTGTTCTAACATCCCTTAATAATTATTAGCTTTATGAAATTATCAAATCTGATTTTTATTAAAAAACTTTAAATGATGTCTAAATTTTTCTTTATTTATTCATAAATATTTATTATTATTTATTAAAGCATTTAATTTCATTTAATGGGCGTGCTTTGTTTGTAATAGCTTTAAATTAATATTTATTAATGATATATAAAATATTAATCTTTAATATTATATATATTTTATTATACATTAAGTTTAATTTAATTGAAGTAAATCTTAATTTATTTAGTTATTATATTAAGTTGTTCCTTTCTCATAAAATAGTAATCCTTTCTACATTTTTTCACCTATTATTTTCGATAAATCTAATTAAAATGATTTTTTGAAACTATCTTCTATATAAAGTGTTTTTTGTAATCTTTTTTTTTTTTTTTTCTTTAAATATTTTTTTTTATATATATATATAGTTATATACATATTTTGAAGTATTTATTTCTTTTTAATTGATAAATTTGCACAACTCCCTTAAATTTTTAAAATAAATATAAAATAATAAGAATTAAATAATTTCTATTTTATTGTTTACTATTTTTTAAGTTTAAAAAATTTGCTACTTTTGTTTTTGCGAAATCAATTTGTTATAAATAACTTGTATATTCATCTAATGTATAAGTAAGTAAAAAATAAAAGTTTGAAATAATATCTTCTATCTAATATTTTTTAATTTGATATTCGACTTTTTTTTTTTAATAAAAAATAATACAAATTTTGGAATTTATCCATTTAAATTTCCTTTGAAAAATATTTTTTCTAAAATAACTTCTTTTTATATTTTTCCATTATTTTCTTCTCTAGATGCATAAACCTATTAAAAATAATAATAATATTTATTAAAAATAAATATTATAATAATTACCACTACTATAACTAATTATGTTTTAAATAATAAAGATTATTATATAATTTATTAAGAAAATATTTATTTCTAATCTTAGTCAATTCTAATATTATTAATTATATTAAATCTTTATGTTTTCAAATCAATTATCATTGCATTTAATTGAAAATAATTTTTGCTATCTTATATTTATAATATTAAATATATATTATTTTATTTTACATATTTATTTGACTTCTAACCAATTTACACTAAAAAAAGATTGAGGGCCTTTTAGTTTTTAATTATATAAATATTTAGAACTTTAATTCTATTAGATTAAAAGTTAACCATGGACTTAAAACATATGTTTTTATACTATTTTTTATAATTTAATTATTTTTTATAAATTTTTTACTTATATTCTTTTAATTTTATTAGTTATATTTTTTAACTTCTAAGTATATTTTTTCCTTTTAATCTTAATAATGTTTTAATGATTAATTTTTAAATTGTTTGCTTATATAATTAGTATTAATTTGTGATTCATTATTATAATAATTTTTAATATTTTATGAGCTTTAATTATTATTAA